CGTGGCTTTGAGGGCTGAGACCGACGTCCTTCCTCCCCCTGTTTGTGGTTTTGCTCAATGCGTCCGGGCTCCTTGTGATCCCCAGGAGACTCTCAGAGCCCCAGGGCTCATGCCAGATTTTAACAATAACCTACAAAGCAGAACACCTACCGGGAGACTAAGACTTCTGTGCGCAGAGAAAGGCCCGGCATGGACATGAAAGAGGAGACGAAAGCACCACCTGCTCTCGGGGCTCTTGTTGGGACAGGATGTCACCAAGGGGTGGGCATTGTCCGGCTCAGGGCCCTGTAGTCCTTTTTCCTCTGGCAAGGCCCCTCTGGACACCAGCCTTTCTCCGTCCTGAAGTCTCCGTGGGAACGGATGGCCTGTGGACTGTTGACACACAGCTGCTCTCTATCAACCCCAGCTCCCAACCCGAAGACCCCCTCCAATTACTGTGCTTCCTTCCATACCTGAGAATCCCACCCTCATAAGCTGCAGGCTGCCTGAACACGTGCCTTTGGGTCGGCGTTTCCATCAAGGCAGAACCGCAGGTCATTATACAATGAGACTGTCAAGTTCAGGGCTTTGGGTTTCTTCCGTGAGGCTGTATCTCGCCTTCGGTCACACACATCAGAGAGACAGGAGCGAAAGGCTGTGCCCGGCCCTACGGCGGCCTGCAATCCAGATGGGCTTCCTGCCGGTTCTGTCACCTCCTGCCTCCAACCTCTCTAGCGAGCCTGGCTTCCCCTTTAAAACCCAGGGGTGACCCCACAGAAGTTTCACAGAGCTTCTTGTAACAAATGTAAGTGGGCTGACCTCATCCCAGCCCACCCAACCCAGTTGCCTGGGCAGTTTTTTAAAAACTATTCCTTAGACCCTGGGAACCACAGCACCGGGGGTCAGGCCCGCGCTCCCACATGGTTCTGACACGCAGCGGGGTCAAGGATGGCTCAATGTCATGAGAACGCTCAGCCCAGGCCCGGCCGGGAAGGCGGCCCCCAGCTGTGTCACTGTCATGGGTGGTGACAGCCCTCTTGTTGGGCAAATGCCTCTGAGTTATCGATTATAACTGAGCAGGGATGTCAGCTCAGAGGCTGGACAGAAACGTGTCCTTTTTGATCTTATTTCTTTCTCAGCATCTGTTTTGACTTTTCAAGCCAATCTGCTTTCACCAGCATCACCACTCAACTTGATCCTTGTAAGGCCACGTTTGTTTTAAACCATCTTGTCTGAGAACAGTTACCTGTGTCCTGCTTCAGTAAACAGAGGCCACCTTTCCTAGTGGCGCTGGGTACCTGGTGGTGGTGACTCTGTTATGCCTGCATAGCTGAGGAATGATGTGAGCAGAGGGCTGACTGCTCAGCTGCCACTGGGTGACCAATGTCCCCGATCCATCCTTCTGCAGTCCTTGCACCCTGGTCCACATCCCAGCACTTCTGACCCTGCCCTGCGCCACCTGCTCCTGAAAGAGCCTCGGAAACCTCAGCTGCTGAGGGGACAGCACATTGTTTCCTGTAAATGGGATGCAACATACACCCTGAGGGTATGTTTACAAATGCACAAATCTGTTCACATCAAGTCCAGCACGCTGGCCACAGGCCTCTCACATGTGATGTTTCAATTCTCATTGATTAAACTTATGTACAATTAAAACTCAGTCCCTTGGGACGTCCCTGGTGGTCCAGTGGTTAAGAATCTGCCTGCCAATACAGGGAAACACAGGTTTGATGCCTGGCCTGGGAAGATCCCACATGCTATGGGGCAACTAAGCCCGTGAGCCACAACTCCTGAGCCTGTGCTTGAGAGTCCAAGAGCCACAACAAGAGAAGCCACCACAAGGAGAAGGCTGAATACTGCAACTGGAGAGCAGCCCCGCTTGTAGCAACTAGAGAAAAGCCCAAACACAGCAATGAAGACCCAGCACAGCCAAAAAAAACCAGTCCTCAATCAAACAGAACACATTCTAAGTGCTCAATGGCTACGTGTATCCAAGGGTTTCCCTGGAGGATGGTAGAGTTCTGGAACACTCCACAATCAGAGAGTGTGTCCACATTCTGATCCCGTGACCTGTGGATGTGTGGCCTTAACCAGCAGAGGGACTCTGCGGGTATGATTGAGTTAAGCATCTCCAGGCGGGAATGATCCTGGCATCTGGGTGGGCCCAGTGTCCCCACAGGGCCCTTGCAAGAGGTGGGCAGGAGGGCCCTGAACTGTGGCCACTTGTTCTGACGACCACAGGAAACTCTCCTGATGGGCGAGAGACTCAAGGATGGCTACAATTTCCCAAAAGACAAGAAACAATTTGGAGTCCAAACCAAACTTTAAAATATCCCCTTCCCTCCTAGATCCCGCGGGTCTGCAGCCTTGGAGTCACCCAACACCCAATGCTCTGCACCAGCCAAGGCAGCTACACTCAAGCCTGTGACCAATGCACCCAAACTGTCCTGCTTTGTGCTGAAGAGTGACCACGTCCCACATAAACTGATGGTAAGCTTGCTGCGCTGCCTTTGCTCAGCACTGTCATTTGATGGGTGCTGACGAGCGGCTGCACTTTTTCAGGGAAAATGTGTATAAGGAAGTTCAGGATTGTTTTCTCTCTAGTGGGTGCCAGAACACGGAATATCCCAGGGCCAGACTGTAAATTGTTGACACCGCAGGAAGTTCTGTGATTGGGGAAAAACTCTGAACCTCTGCCAAAACACACCACATCCATAATACACGTTCTCCTTGATCTTAGATGGTATTCATGGACTGTGATGAGTCTATTTATTCTTTATCTGCCCAGATGAAATGGAGGGTATCACTGCACCTTGCTAGGTGGATAAATGTTTGCCTTCTGGACTGGGCTGTTTTTCAGTGTTTACCTGAGAGTCAGGTAAAGCTGGAAGATGACATGATGAAGTTTTTTGTGGAGCTTCATCTCTACCAGAGGGGAATGTGTGTGATGCTACAAAGAATAAAAATACCATTATCAGCTAGGATATTCAGTTCAGTTCAGTCGCTCAGTCATGCTAGCGACTTTTAAGTCATTCAGCCTTAAAAAGGGAGGAAATTCCCACACCTGCCACCATATGATGAATCTTGAGGACATGATCCTCAGTGAAATAAGCCAGACACAAAAAGACAAATATTGCATGATTCCATTTATGTTTGATTCATATAGCGGTCAAAATCTTACCAACAGGGGACTTCCCTGGTGCTCCAGTGGCTCTGCTCCCAATGCAGAGGGCCTGGGTTTGAACCCTGGGCAGGGAACTAAACCCCATATGCCACAGCTAAGAGTTCACAGGCTGCAACCAAAGACCCCGTGTGCCACAACTAGGACCTGGCGCAGGCAGATAAGTTAGTAAGTATTTTTTAAAAACCTTAGAGACAGAAAGTAGGACGATAGGTGCCAGGGATCAGGGTGGGGGGGCAGTGGGGAGTTACTGTTTAGTGGGGACAGAATTTCAGTTTAAGAAGGTAAGAAAGTTCTGGAAGCCGACGGTGGTGATGGCTGCACCACACTGTGAACACATCTCAGACTGTGCACTTAAGGGTGGTTAGGATGGTAACATTATGCTATGTGCGTTTTACCACAGTTAAAAAAAACCCACACTAAAAAATCATGACACACCCCGAGGAACGACCGCAATTAACTGGCGACATGTCCCAGGCAAACACTTTGTAAAACTCCTTTTGGCTTTGAAGATGGGGGAGGGGCCACCAGCCAAGGAAGCAGATGCCCCTGGAAGCTGGAAAAGGTGAGGAGGCACACTAGAGCCTCTGGAGGAGACAGCCCTGCTGTCTCCTTCCACTGGGCTCCTGGCCTCCAGGCTGTGACTCAGTAAGTTTCTGTCGTTTTATGTTTTAAGCCCACACCCCTGTCCGCCGGCCTAGTGTGTGACTGCTATGGGCTGAATTGTGTCCCCTGCATTCACATGTTGAGGCCCTAAGTCCTCACCCCTCCAGACCCCCAGCCCTTGGCAACACAGAGCCTGGGACCAACACCCCTCCTTCCCAATTCCAAGTTCCTGGTGTGTCAGTATCCTGGCGTTGCTGTGACTGATGATGTGGCTGGGGACGAACACGCTGTGGGTGCAGGGTACTTAAGGGGTTTCTAGGAGGTATATAAGCTTAAGTGAGGTCCTACAAGTGGGGTCCTAACCCAGTAGGGTTGGTGGCCTTGTAAGGGGAAGAGGGATTTCCCTGGTGGTGCAGCGGTTAAGACTCCACACTCTCAACTCAGGGGGCCCAGGTTTGATCCCCGGTCAGGGAACTGGATCCCACGTGCCATAACTAAGGGTTCACATGCCCCAACCAAAGATCCTGAGTGCCACAACTAAGACCCGGCACAGCCAAGTAAACAAACAAAGAAAATAAATATTTTTTTAAAAAATAAAGGGAAGAGAGAGAATTCTCTCTGTGTGCATACACCAAAAAACAAAAACAAAAACAAAAAAACACCCCACACAGGACACAAGAAGAAGCCAAGAGAGACCCTTGAGAACCCAGCCAAGCTGGCACCTGATCTTGGACTCCCAGCCTCAGTGCTGTGGGAAGAAAGGTAGGCCCTGCTGGGTACCCCACACTCACAGCATGTTGGTCACCGGTTGCATCATCGGTCAGCAGCCCCAGGACACTGACACACCAGGAACCTGGCATTGGGAAGGAGGGACGTTGGTCCCAGGCTGTGTGTTGCCAAGCGCTGGGGGTCTGGAGAGAGGACACTGTGGGCCCGAGAGAGGGCAGGGTGGATGACCTCGGTCCATGGGGCTGGCGCGCCCCTGAGGCTGGGGCACTGCTGAGAGCCCTCTGAGAGATCCCACGTCCCAGACTTCCATTCCCTGGGATGCTCAAGCTTCTTTGAAGCGATTCTTTTCCTTGCAACTGCAAAGTACATTGATGGAAATCATGACCTTTTCCTCTCTTTTTAATTTCAAAGGTTACACACGATCAGACTGTGAAGCCCAGGAAACAAGAGAAAACACTTTTTCTTGTCAAAGTCAGTTCTACCTGTTAGCATGGACAGAGTGAATTTAGAGTCTTGCTCCCTTGTGAGTGGCCTGGAAGGATGAACGGACCTTCCGGTTCATCAGGGGTTGGAGTGGGCGGTAGTTGTTCACCATTGTCTTCTCTTCTTCACCAGGCACAGAAAACAGGAGCGAGCGAAAGGCGGCCAGCTGGAAGGGAGGGTGTCGATGTAAGCTGGCTGCAGGCACGGAGTGAACCAGCCCCTGCGCCTGTCCTGTCTGTGCAGGGCCCTCCCAGCCTGAGTTGGGGCCCTGTATGACCAAACCAATGAGGCAGAACAGCAATGTCTTTTCAGGTTCTTCTCTGCCCTCCAACGGGTGCTCATAGTGCCTCTCCAGCCGCCTAACCCCACCGTGCATTTTTGTGTGATACTTGCCACTCTGCCTTAAAACTATTGACTTAAGTTTCTATTTTCCTGCCAGGCGGCGGCATACAGAGACTATGGGACTATGGTCACTACGCTGTTGCCTCCCCCACTCCCTGCCACTTGCCTACCCTCTCCTGCTGTAACATCTGACTCCTAACTAGTGTTTACTACACATCTGCTGAGTAATAGAGGGGTGTTGGTGAGGATGGCCAGTTTCAACCATGTCTGGAACAGTTCTATTCTGTGGGAATGTTGGAGATCTCACCTTTAGCCTTTCAAAGCAAATAGCATCACCTCAGGGAAGACTGGTGTGCTGCAGTCCATGGGGTCACCAAGAGTTGGACACGACTAAGTGACTGAACACACACACAAAGCATCCTCTCAAGGGTTTTTTTTTTTTTTTTTAATTTGGCTTCACTGGGTCTTAGTTGCAGCATGCTGCATCTATGATCTTTGTTGTGGCACGCAGGATCTTTAGTTGTGGCGTGCGGGATCTAGTTCCCTGAACAGGGATTGAACCCTGGCGCCCTGCATTGGGAGTGTGAAGTCTTGGCCACTGGACTACCAGGGAAGGCCCATCTCATGACTTTTAAATAAGAGGATGTTTTACAGAAGCAAAAGGCTGGAAGGACATCCAAGTGCTCATCGAGAGCCCTCAGGAAGTGCATAACTGAAACCGAGGTGGTGAATGCTGCTGTGATCGATTAGAAATGTCTGTCCTGGGCAGGTGGGCGAGAGGAGCATGCCTGCTGCACAGTTGTCATCTTGGAACTCTGCCCTAGACAGACAGACTTTCTCCAGATTCTGGAAATTCCCGGAGAAAAAGATACTTCAACTTGAAAAAAGTATATAAGTAATACGTATTGCTTCAGACTGTAAAGAACTCGCCTGCCAGTGCAGGAGACCAGAGTTTGATCCCAGGGTCGGGAAGATCCCCTGGAGGAGGGAATGGCTACCCACTCCAGTATTTTTCCCTGGAATTTCTATGGAGAGAGGAGCCTGGTGGGCTACAGTCCATGGGGTCACAAAGAGTCAGACATGACTGAACAACTAACACACACACACACATATACACAGACACACAATATTTAATAAAGGAAGAGAAAGAAAATAAGAACCACTGCAGACCTGTGACCCTGGGACAACCAGGGTTAACTTTCTGGTGCACCTCTGTGTGACACCATAGGGCATCGCTCAGCAAATAGACATTTGCCTCCCCCCTGCCCCTCTGGCCTTAGCTTGGCCATCATAACTTGCTTTGGTCAACAGGATGTGAGCAGTTGTGATGCAAGCTGAGGCCATAAATATGCCTGTGTGAGTTGGCCTTTCTTTTGCATTGCTATCTTGTGCCATCAGAAATAGCCCTGGGTGGCCACTGGTCCAAGAACCATGAGAGACATGGCCTGACCCAACACCCAACTTTGGCCAAAACAGTGTCCTAGCTCCCAGATATCTATGAGTAGGGAAAAATAAATGCTTAAGCTGTTGAGTTTGGGGGTGGTTTGTTAGGTGGCATTTTGCAGCAGTAGCTGACTGACACAACCCCTCTGGAATTTTCTCTGGGCATTTATATTCTATAACTTCTTATCACAGTGTGATTTCTTACTGTTCTGTCGGCCAAAGGAGTGGGACAGAGCCTAATCCTCCTTTTCTCCTGCAGCAACCCTACTTCTTTCACAGCTCTCCAGCAGTCATCTATGACATCCCTTATTGCCTAATTTACTCATCTGAAAATATTCAGGGCCCACAGAGGCCCCTGAATGAGCAAGGATCCATGTCCCAATGATAATATCACTTCTGTCCTGTAAAGCTGCTTTGCCCCAATGGAGACCAAAGAGCAGGTGCTGGCCTTGCCCCAGAGACTATCACCTGGGAAACTCGCCACTCCTGAGGCTGACCACTAAGATTAGAAGGTGCTGAACACAACTGTCTGTCCCCACCTCTGTTCCCCTTCATCCACCGCCTTCTGCCCCTTTCTCTATCTCTGTTTGTCTTTGTCTCTGTCTCTCTGCCTCTTTGTCTGTCTCTCTTTCTCTCTTCTCTGTCTGTCTCTTGCTCCTTTCTGTCTCCGTCTCCCTCTCACACACCAATATTTCTAGGTCAGGAGAAGAGCTGCAATACTGGGAACTTCATTCAACCCCCACAAGCTCCTATTTCAACTGGAAATTGTTCTTGTGAAGGAACATCAAAAATGCACCAAAGCATGAAACCACACAATGCTCGCTCATACTGTCTCAGTGAAAGCCAAACCAGAGGGATCCCCATGAAGTCCCGTGCGCCGGATACAGGCGCCCCTGACCTGGTCCTGAGCCACCTCGATGGGCTTCTTGTGGATGATCCAGGTGACTGACTCGGACAGTGGCGGCGTGGTCAGGGAGCCCGGGTACGTCCAATAGTCCTGGCAGGCAGGCAGCAGGCAGGAGGGCTGGAAGGGGCCCAGGGCTGCTCGCGCGTCCTGGGGGAGGAGACCACGGGCTGTCAGACAGGTGGAGGAGGCCAGAAAGAGGGCACCGTGCTCGGCTTCATCTCAGTGACTGGCCTGGAGTGGAGCACATTCCTGGGATAAAGGCCATGGCCACAGCTGCCACATTTGGAAACTGTAACAAGAGAACGTGGCCTTCCGCATTGAGCAGGGGTATCCACCACAGGTTTGCATGTTTTCTTTTAAAGCTACTCATGTTCCTACACCTTGGCTGTGAAAATATCACACTCTTCAAGGTTGATGTCAAATAACAGGCACAACACAAAATGTGCCATTTTAACCATTTAAAACACACAGTTCAGTGGGGTTGAGTACCTTCACCTCGTTGTGCAACCATCCCACCATCACCTGTGGAAGGTTTTCAACATTTCAGACTGAAACTCTGTCCCCATCACACAGTAGCTCTCCTCCCCTCCCCCAGCACTCCTCCCCTCCCCCAGCCCCTTGCATTCATCATCTACTTTCTGTCTCTATGAATGTGACTCCTCTAGGGATCTCGTATAAATGGAATAATATGGGGTCTGTCCTTTTTGTGACTGGCTTATCTCACTCAGCACAAGGTCCTCTAGGTCCATCTGTGTTGGGGCCTGTGTCAGAATCCCCCCCCCCCTTTAAAAATATTTATTTATTTTTTAAATTTAACTGTACCAGATGCTGGATCTTTAGCTGTGGCATGCAAATTCTTTGTTGTGGCATGGGATCTAGTTCCCTGATCAGGGATCAAACTTGGGCCCCCTGCATTGGGAGCTTGAAGTCTTAACTACCGGACCACCAGGGAAGTCCCAGAATTTCCCACTTTTTACTGCCGAGTAATATTCCACTGTGCCGATGGACCATGTTCTGTGTATCCATCATCGCTAACTGACACTCAGGTTGCTTCCACATCTGTGCTGTTAATAAAGCTGCTATAAACACGAGTGTACAAACATCTCTTCAAGTCCCTGCTTTTAATGATTTGAGGAGATACCAGAAGCAGAAACGTAGGACCCCATGGTAACTCCATGTTTAGATTTTTCAGGGACCACTAGACTGTTTTCCATAGTGGCTGCACCAGAAAATATTACTTTTGAGACAGCCGATCCTCTCTTTAAAGCAGCCCTCCCTGACATGAGAGCCATGCAATTACACATGTGCAGGAGGACACACTGCTCTGGTCAGATTCCCTAACTCATATGAGAATTTTCCTTCTCATCATGGTTGGGGGGGAGGCGTTGATGGACCAGGACAGCCTAGTGCTCCAGGCTGCTCTGTCAGCTCATGCCATGCTTGGGAGCCCGGTGTTCAGAATTCACATTGGCTTGCTTACCACGCTCTAGAATGGACAGAAACTTGCCTCCAGGTTCCTAGTGCCTGGTGGGATCCCACGTCACTTGCCCACTCAGCTATTCGATGAGCACCACTGTAAACCTGACACCGTCTTACGTGCTGGGGCTACAGGATCACACAAGGTGGACCCACTACTTGCCGTCGTGGAGCTCACTTCTAATGGAGGAACGCCACAGCAGATGGCTTGTAACCAGTGTCTAGTCACGACTTTTTTAAAGGGCGTCACGGAAATGCAATTCCCGTAGTGTGGTGCCTACCCACCTAAAGTGCACAGTCCTATGGCTGTGTGTTCACAGACATGTGAACCCTCAGCGCAGTCAATTCTAGAACATGTTCCTCAAAACAGAACTCCAGGGGAAAAGAACCCCAGTAAAGACTCTTAAGCTGTCACTTCCACTAACCCCGACCCCACCAGAGGCTCCGTGATCTGCCCATTCTGGACGCTTCCTAGAAGTGGCATCACATAACCTGGGGAGTTCTGCATCTGGCTTCTTTCACTCAGAATGATGTGTTCAAAGTCCATCCTTGTTGGGGGTGTCAGTGCTCCATTCCTTTACCTAGCTGAGTGATATTCTCCCATATTGTCTACTCAGTTCTTAAAGGGCACAGACCACATATGCACACAGGACAAAATGCAGAAAGTCCTACCAGCAGGTATGGGGGGACAGACAAACCCCCTCAGAGCTCCTCCCCCAAGACCCTGGTCCCAAGGTGCTGACCTGCCAGGTGCCCTCTGAGGCTCTCACCTTGGATTTCCAGAACCAGCCTTTATCTCTGTTTCACTGATTAAGACAGAGAGATAAGACCTTTCCAAAGCCACGTGACCAGACAGCAGTGGGACTCAGGTGCTACAGGAGGCCTGCCCCGTCCCTCAGAGCTGGACCTCACGGAGGTGACCCCTATTGCCGCCAATGTTCAAAGTCCACCCAGACGTTGGGGAACCCAGGAGGGAGTGCAGACTGACAGATGACTTAAGCTGTCACTCTCCTGACCCACGAGGCACAGGCCCCTGCCCTCCAAGGCTCGGCCTTTCTCTCCTAAGCTTCTAAATCTTATTTTTCAGCTGAGGAAGCTGAGGCTCTGGGACAAGCATCAGGACCAGAACTGGACTGGTGGTTTCCTCCCTCCCCTCCTCTGGCACCGTTTCGCCTGTGTGTTTGCCCAGAACCTTCGGAGAAGCATGGCCCCCTTAGTATACAGCCCTCACAGCAGCTCTTTCTTTCCCACCAGGAGGTGGAACCACACCTGGGGGGTGGATGCTGCAGGGAACAGTCCAGGTTTACTTTGGCTGCGGACCAGTGAGGAGGAGGGTCCTTCCAGCACCTCGACCTTGCCAAGTTCCTGAGCTGGCACATGGGCAGCAGGGGGGCGAGCTGGTCTGGTCCAAGGAGGCCAACTTCAAGGGGAGTGTGCCGCACAGATCAAACAGCCCCCGAGAAGCGGCTGAGGAAGGGCCGATCCCCAGCTCCCCTCTGGAGTCTCTCTGGCCATTGTCAAGACACGTCAGCGCCCCATCCGTCCCCACGACCAAGGACCACGCGGTGACTCCTTCCCTCTCGGAATTCTTTTGTTCAGCACTGAACAAATAAACTGCAGGTTGTATAGGAATTTCCATTTCTCCATCAAAGCCCTCTCTCAGCTCGTACCTTGCAGGCCGTGCTGTTGGGCTATGCTGGGTGCAGCCAGGTGCGTGGGGGGGCTGGGCCGGACGGGATCCTCTCGCCCCACCTCCCTCTTCTCCCAGGATGAGGCTGACCCTAAGGAGGCCAGGTGTCTTGCTGGTGGACATTCTTAAATGGCCATAGTTGGGAATTCATTTCAATTGGTTTTAAAACTAACATTATCACTAATGGAGGTTGTTGCCTGGGACAAGGCTAAAAATTTTGAAGTGGATTAATCTCATGAAAAATACTGCATAACTAACAGTACTACTGGCAGGCAGACAAGGCAAAAATCTTCAAGATGCTGCCTGAGTGGCTGAGTATTGGGATATCCCGTTACACCGAGCGGGGAGGACCTGGGAATAGCAGGAACATGTTCAAGTGGGTGAGCCAGCTGGAGATAGCTGGCATCAGCCCCGGGGAGCCCCAGGTCCAGGACCGGACTCAGACCCCCTTAGCATTGCTCCTTCCTCCCAACTGGTTTGTTTACTTGTTTTTCTTTGCAGAGGAGCCATTACTCTAAGCAATCTTGCTTTTTCAGTTATGCTGATTTCAAAGTATGTAGCTTACCTTGTGCTTTATGTCCGGCAAGACTGCCACCAGCTCCTGCAGCGCCTCGTGGCGGGCCCCCAGCTGCACAGCGTGGCACGGGGAGTGGTCACATGACAGGGCCGGGGACAGGGTGACAAGCACATGTCATCCTAAGGAGACCATGCCTAGAAAGCAGGTCTCACTAGGATAGCTGCACCCGGCCCACTTACCTTTAAAAATACGCCTACCACCGCCAAGCCGTCTGCTCCCATCACGGCGTCCGTGTAGTTCTGGTATTTCACAGTGTTCCAGTGAACCAAGTGCAGCTGGAACCCAGGAGGAGAGAGTCCCCCATCACCGGGCAGCAGACGCCAGAGGCGAACCCTCGCTCTCCTCTGTGTGGTTGTCAGGAGTTCATGGCTGCAGGCCAGGTCGCCCAGCTTGTGCGTGTGTGTGCATGCATGCTAAGCCGCGTCAGTCGTGTCTGACTCTTTACAACTCTGTGGACTGTAGCCTGCCAGGCTCCTCTGTCCATGGGGTTCTCCAGGCAAGAATACTGGAGTGGGTTGCCATGCCCTCCACCAGCAGATCTTCCCCACCCAGGGATCAAACCCGTGTCTCTTGCATCTCCTGTAAGAGGGTTCTTAACCACTAGTGCCACCTCGCCCAGACCAAGCTCACTCAAACCCCAGAAAGCAGAGCCTTAGTTCTCAAGGGGAGAGAAAGGAGGCTTGCTTTAACTATGTCAAACACACGGGTGGTTGGATTATTTGCTACTGCTCAGACAGCTCAGGCTCCCCTGGTAGCTCGGATGGTAAAGAATCCGCCTACAACGCGGGAGACCTGGGTTCGATCCCTGGGTTGGGGAGACCACCTGGGGGAAGGCATGGCAACCCACTCCAGTATTTTTGCTTGGAGAATTCCATGGACAGAGGAGCCTGGTGGGCTACAGTCCATGGGGTGGCAAAGAGTCCGAAACGACTGAGCGACTAAGGATACACACACACACACACACACACACACACACACACACACGGACAGCCTTGAACCAGCGTTGCCAGATCACACATAGGACTCTCAGTTGAATCTGAGTTTCAGATAAACAGTGGATAATTTTTAATGCTAGCACACCACCCAAATGGCACTTTTTCTGTCACCCTCTCCTGAATTTCTTATTCTTCACACCTTCCTCTGGCTTTCCTAAGTCTGAACTCGGCATCACAGCTGACCAGATGATTTAAATCAGATTTAAATCAGCAGGGAATGGCTGGGGGAATGGGTGTTCCTGGGGCGCTGGTGAGCAGGAGGCAGAGCCAGGACCCCTGGGTTCTGCGTGATGAGAACCGGGCCGGGGCCTGGGTGTTGGCATCTCCTGCTGCAGCGTATGTGGTGGTGGAGGCCTTTCTGAACCCTGACCCAGGCCTTGAGTCCATGAGGACTCGGCCCAGAGAAGCCTCCAGCCTCTCATGGTCAGCAAGACCCTCCCCCAGTCGGCTGATGGACTTGGGGGCGTGGGGAGCCTTGCCAGGGTGCTGGGATCCGGTGGCACCTCACTGCCAACAAGTCCCACTATTCCTCACCACACAAACCGGGGACCGCTAGGGTGGCGTGGGTTCCCTCTGTCCTCCCGTGCCTCACCTGGAACTCCCTACCCGCTGTCCTGTGGGGTCTTCCAGAAATAGAAGAAATCTCAGGGCCCCGCCCACAGCCTACCTCCTTCTCAGACCCTGACATAGGGGGCTGGCCTTGCCTTCCAAACCCTACAGGAAACGGCCTGCTCCAACAGGGGCCAGTGGCATGGCCAGCACGGCCTCGCAGGCCCTGCCCACCTGACTCAGGGACAGTCAGGCTCTGGTGAGTCCCAAGCTCTGATCCGGCTCCTAGATGAGCACATTGCAGGGAATTCCTCTGTTGAAATAGCTGCTCATTAAAGACCAAGGGGGCAGGAACACAGTTATTAAGAGGAATGTGGCTTGCTGAAAGCAGGTGTGTTACAAGCTGCTATTCCTTCTTTTTTGTTATATTTATAAAAATGTGTGCAGTTATAACAATCACTAATTGTTTGAGTGATAATGTCACTCCCTAATTATCAACTGTCCCCAGAGGCCACCTTTGGCTGTGTGATCACAGCAATGTTCAGGTTTTGGTCTGACTGGACTCTGGTTCTATAGTATTACTTCCATAATGATGGCGACAGAAAGAGTCCAGAACTTGAAATGCATCAGAAAGCCAGGTGATTGGTGGGTGGGGTTGGTGGGTGGATGGGGGTGCAATACAGTGAATATGGCAAATATCAACACAGGATCTGTATGGTGAGCGACTTTACGGTTTCTCACTACGCAGTTCTTTCATTTTTTTTTGGAGGGGTAAGTTGGAAAAATTTCATAATAAAATATTGGGGGACATCTACAAGGCCCTACTTACCACCTCAAACTCAATTCCTGACCTTTGTCTCTGAACCTTTTCTTTACTGACTCCCATTTTGGAATGTCCCAAATATCACTTTGTTTTAAAGAGGTAATTTCTATCGTAAAGATTTTCTATTCTCAGTAAAAGGCCTCGTATGCCTCTAAGGACAGGAAGCTTGTTCCCAGTGGACTAGCCTCAAGTGAGGCTGAGCTAAGGGCACAGACTCTCTCCTGAAACCCAGCCATCTGACTCTGGCAAGTTACAGCGCCACTCAGAACCTCAGTCTCTTCTTCTAGTCAGTGAAAGTGCTAATGTTACTCTCGCCCTTAAGGATAGTCCTGAGAGCGAACGGATGGGGTGGCCAATGGCTTGAGCATCGAGTCCCATGTCCCAGGAAATTCTTTCTGTGCAACCAGGATGCTCAGTCACCTGACCTCAGGTGACCAAGTCACTCGGGAAGCCCCCACGTGTTAGCTGCTACGAACCTCTGCCGGGTATGCGTGGTCATCCACCATGTGCTCTGAGCCCCACTCGTTCACTGCTCCCCAGTGGAAGTGGAACTGCTTTAGTCTGTAGTGGTTTTCCAAGGGGCCGCCGCTGATTCCTGGAAAGTGAAGCCGTGGACATGGTGTTAGCCTGCCTGTCAGACTGGGGAGCTGCTGTGACCCTGGCGACACTGGGCTCACACACTGTCACTCTTGAGAGATCCGTGCTGCTGAAAGGTGGCCCTTGTCTATCCCCTGTCACCTGGCCCCGGCCGGCCCCCAGTGACTCACGGGGAACCCGGGAGAGACGCAGAGTCCAGTGCTGCCACCAGGTGGCGGTCGGGTAGGCAGCAGGAAGGCAAGAAAAACCGTCTCTGAGATGCATGCCAGTCCTGTAAGACTTTTCAACTTTCCTTTAGTTAAAAAAGAGAGAGAGAGAGATGTCTTTTGAATGAAATAATAGCAGACAGAATTCTGTCACCAAATAATTTCATAAGCTAATATGCAATGAGCAAGATGTTTAAATACACAAATTCTGAGCTACAAGGCGCTACTTTCCCACCAGGGCTGATCTCCAGGCAGCCCCTGCTCTGTCCAGTCTCACCAGATGACCACTGTCTAAGTCACTCCAGATCCCCAGAGAGCCTCTCCAAGAGCTGTGACCGTAATGCACGCGGGCTTATCCCTGAGCATCCTCACGGAGGCAACTTCTCTGAAATGTGGGCCCCAGAGGTCCAGGGTGGGGGCTAGGAGCCTGCATTTGAATGAGCTCACGGGGGTGGGGCAGGGCTCGGATGCACAGGGTTTAGCCCGTCTCCAGCTGCACTTTGCTAACAGAGCTCCACCACCAAGTGCAAGAAAGTAATGGTAACTGCTGGATATCCCACCTGTGTTTGAGGTGAGCGTCCTGGGACACTCGGATCCTGGGATGAGTCTGGAAAAGACACTGGCAGAGCGTGGGGTGGGGTTGGGGGAGGTTGCTTGTATCAGCTCCTCCATGCAGCAAAAGCAGGGGAAACATTTAGTGACCCAACAGATGCTATTGCAAACATCAGATACTACTGGACTTAGGGTGCTTTCTGAATGCTTTTGCCTCTGAAGGTGTTGGTAGCAGAAGGCACTGAACTGTGAACCAGAAAACGGATTCAGCCCACGATTCTGCGCTTGATCTGTTCTCACTCGAAAGTGAGCACGCAGCTCCAGGACGTCGTTATGGGCACCTTGTCATGAGAGTCTATGACTTAATTCTCCTGAACACACACATTCTATCTCACTTTAAATGTACACAGAGAAGGACCTCTTTGCCCCACAAGTTAGTAAGTAAAAACACAGTAAATCATGAAGCCTGAATCCACGGGTCAGGAGAAGCCTTTCTGTACGGAGGGAACCTATTTGTTGGGTTTAGATTACAAGATTTTACTGGGTTTTCTGTGGCTGGAAATACAAAGGGGTGGTGTTTTCTTTCAAGGAATGAGGATACCCGAGCTGACTGGCTTCCGTAGTTTTGTACAGTTTTTGTTTTTTTGGCTGCACCTCTCAGCTTGCAGGATCCTAGTTCCCTGACCAGGGATCGAACCCATGCCCCCTGCAGTGGAAGCTCGGAGTCTTTTTTTTTTTTTTTTAACTGAAGTGTAATTTTAATTGAAGTTTTATTTATAATGTATTAGTTTCAGGAGCTCGGAGTCTTAACCACTGGACCACCAGGAAAGTTCCTTGTGTAGTTTTTCAATTTATTAGGAGAGGTCAAAGAGGTTTCCAATTATCCTGGCCACGAGAGGTAGGATTCAACCTCAGATCTGACACCCAAACCCAGGCCTTGGGTACAAAATATCACCTAAGGAAATTACACCAGTACCGGTGGTGGGATCTTTGTGCCATTTCTGACGGCAGGGGAGGTGGCAGCCCTGGCCAGCTGACACATGGGCTCACCAATATGCACTAATGCGTGCAGCTGCTGTGTGGCCTCGAGCAAGTTGCTCAGCTTCTCGGAGCCTCAGCGGTCCCACTTGTGAGAAGTGCCGTGTTGGCCAGACGGCCTCTTTACACACAGTCATCAGATGGTGACAGTGATGCTGGCAACCACACACCACGCCACCTTTCAGGGACTTGGCCTCTTCACCGATTAAAGAAGGAAAGACTCCTACCTAGGTGGTCCTAGTGGGCCCTTCCAGCTTGAATGACTGAGGACTCTGGAGACACCACACAAGGTGTCCAGAAAGAGCGACACCAACTGCATGAGGCACAACCCCCCCATGAGCTGGCATTGGCTGGACCGGCCAACACTAATCTTGTAGAAAACCCCTGCCCACTGTGGTCACCAGCAAAGAGTTGGGGGTGGGAAGGAGGCTGGGCAAGGGCATCGCCCCCTCCTCTGGCAGGTAAGGACTTGTCCAAGGTCGTCCTCCAGCCAGGTCTGGACCAGGGCCCCGGGCCCACAGTCGCTCCCCCGCCCCACCCCGCTTGCTCCCCCGCCCTCCACATCTATCTGCCCCCAGAACCCTCCAAGGCTAGCTTCTCGCAAGGGGCCTCCCTCTTGCCTGCTTCCCAAAGAGGCAGCCGTCTAAAGAAGAGGATGTGGACGGAGGTTGGCTTTGGAATCTGGGCCACAGGGAAGACGAGCTCCTGTCAGCGGCGGGGCCTCTCCTCCCCGACACCTGGTCATCTGTCTGTGGGCGGCGGCCACCCCCGGCTAGGACCAGGCATACCCCGCGGGCTGCTGCCCATCACCTGCTCTGCAACCTGCAGGTGCGGATCGGGAGCAGAGCACCGTGCGAGGAGCGCTGGTGCTGGGCTGGGCTGCAGCGGCGCCCCGCGGCCGGCCGGAGGAGGTGCAGCGGGAGCCTGTAACTGCGATGCCTGCAGGCCTCCCTCCTTCACGCACATTTCGGCAGAGAAGCAGCACCAGCTAGTACAGGAGCTGCTCCGGTACAAGCTCGGGTGTCCCATTTCTACACCTCAAGCCTCTTCCCCCTCCTTCTCTGGAACCATGTCCGTAAAGGTAGATGGATGGGCACAGACAGTCACGAGCTGGTCACCAGTGTCTTTACTTCAAAACCAGAGAACAGTGTCCTGTTGCTGCAGTGGTCGGGGGTTTGCTCTGGGTCAGTGCTGGCACCATCACCTCCAAATGCAGTGATCTCGGTCCGGTTGCCAAACTGCTCCTAGCCTGAGTCTCCACGCCTGTAAAATGGGGAGGATCCTAGCAACTACTCCTTAGGGATGCTGCAAGGATTAAATACAAACTTCTTAGCAGAACACCCGGTCTTCTGGAAGCACCAAAGGACACAATGCCGGCAGCCATAGCACTCATCTCTGCAATGGGATGACGCTGCTGACTGAGGATAGGGTCCCATCGGTTCTCAATGGTCAGCGTCTCCTGTGTCCTGGCGATGTGCACCCCCACTTGTCAACGCCTGGTGGACAGCCAGCACGCGCTCCGAGTGCCATTCATGGGTGAGCCAGCCTTTGCAATGCCTGCTATACATTAAGCATCGTGCACAGCTCCCACCTTCCCCAGTGACCGTTCCTCATAATGACCCTGCAAATAGCTACTATTGGCCCAGTTTTGAGATGAGAATATTGAAACTCACAGGGGCCAAGTCACCTTCTCCAGGTCCACCAGCGGCCCCAGCCCAGGCCTGCTTGAAGGTCCAGCCCTTGGTTTTCGTGGCGGAGTTCAAGCTGAACACTTGTCCTTTCTTGTAGCAAAATTAGGAACCCAGTTTAAAACAACTGGGTTGTTTTAAAACAACTGGCGGCCGCCCTGGATAAAATAATCTTAGTGCCTTTTCATAATGACAGACAGTGTCAGAAAACAGTTGAAAAGGCGAGCCCAATCTGTGACAAGGAAGCCTTTAGTTTGCCAGCCCGACTCCACCAGCAGCGCCACTGTTCACAGACTGGAGGCCATGCAGCCTCTGTCCCGCCTCAACTTTTCTTCCCTCCTTCCCTGCCCCCTGCAGGCTCCAGGTACAGGTGCTCAACACACAGCTGGGGAATTGCATCCCCAAGGACAGCGATGTTGGAGCCTGACTCTGAGCCCAGATCTACCGTCTCTGTTCTCATAACAGCCGCTGATAATAGCCATCTATTAGTACTTTGGTGCTTTGACCAGGATAAACAGGCCATTTGGCAGGCACAGTTGTTTTAAGGCTTAAAATAAGTCTGAGAGCAGTTTGAGATGTCCTATTTAATCAAAACTGCAAATAACTCAATGGTATCAGTTTGAGATGTTCTACTTAGAATGGCCAGGCTTCCCTAGTGGCTCAGATGGTAAAGAATCTGCCTGCAATGCGGGAGACCCAGGTTCAATCCCTGGGTCAGGAAGATTGCCTGGAGAAGGGAATGGCTGCCCACTCCATTATTCTAGCCCGGAAAATCCCATGGACAGAGGAGCCTGGTGGGCTATAGTCTATGGGATTGCAAAGAGTTGGATGTGACTGAGCGACTAATACTTAGAACTGCAAATAAACTCAGTGGCACTGAGAATCAGCCTGTTCTTGGTGACCCCCTGGGATTTAACATCTCAGCATATCTGACGATCTGATGCTCTAAGTGTTCTCTGGATGAGGGAGGTCTTTGTCATTCTCTCTAGGTAAGCAGGAGCCACAGCTTGGGGCTAGCACCAAGGGGCACAACCCCACCCCAGAATTTCAAAATCCAGAAGTATGGCGGATCAGGTTGCTCTCGGGGTCCTAACCTCTGGGATCACTGCATGTCGACTCTGGGTCTGAAGCCAGGCAAGCGTGAGCACAGCCCCTGCTTTCAAGCAGCGTGTCTCTGCACAGTGGTCTTATCTCTCTGCACCTCAGACCTGACATCTGTACAATGACGATGACGCCTTCCCCATCAAAACATGGCTGGTCCTTAGAAAATGTTTCTTGGCCTGGCTCCTGGCCCCGGGAGGAGCTCCAGCAGTGGGAGCACCTTCTGCTATTGGTATTGTTTCATTTTTATTACTAATACCATGGTCACTATCTTCACCATCAAAGTGGAGATTTGCTGTCATCGGAAATAGCCACTAATACCCCTAAGATAGGACCTGCATTTAAAGACTTTGAGGGATAAATGTATTTTAAGAAAGTGTCCTTTAGAGGGGGCTTGGCCAACCACTAAGCAT